GAGTGGTAAAGGTCACCGCATTAACGCTCTAAAGTAATTATGTTCGATTCTCATCACCAGCGGTACCACCACCACCACCACCACCTCATTTCCTGTCGCGAAAGAGGTACGATATGGTTGCCGGATGTCTCTGTTTCTCTTACACTTTTCCATAGATAATGTTGTTCAAAAGTTGTTACTCAACGTAACGTGTCTAGCTTCATCCTGGAGATAGAGTCGCACTCTTATAGTATGCCAGTGAAAAGGCTTGTGTATTGCGCAACGACACACACCTTGTTGCTCTAAGGCTGCGAAACTAGGCCTCTTTGAATAAATCATGTCCAACGATTATCTTTCTTCTACGACCGTTGTCTGTGCAACATGGCCCACGTATATTTTGGGAGCTTTGCGTGCGTAACGATGAGACCAGACGATGTGTGTTAGGGTCAGGTAATATTTCAATAAGCGAAACCAATATCTGAGGTGGCTAGGGTACGTGCTAAGAATGCCTGAACAACGTTTAACGTAACGTGCTCATGGTTATTCTGGTGCCGTATCTGTATAGATTGGTGTAAAATATATACATATGTATATTCAATAAAAAAGGAAAAAGGTACAGAAACAGAGGAATAAGTAAACCCTGGCTTGGGCTAATGGGCGTGTTACTGGAGAAAATAAAGGTGAAGATTTTATGAGTTCATCTTAACTGCTATATTTGTCTTCCTACAAGTTTTCTCGTTTGGCTTCACGTTATTTCAAAAATAAAACTGAAGTAGAATAAGTCATTGACTGAGTGTTGCTCGCATTGGTTTCCATGAATTACTGCGACATACTTATTCAAATGTGTGAAACATTTTTCATGGTTAGGGTAGAGCGGGATGTTTGGCAAACTGAATGTCTTGTAACCGGCCAACTCGTGAACTATAGATATGAAACCACTCAATGATCACTCGTTCTGGATACGGGACAATGATACGCGTGTTCCGGGATAGTTGTCAAGATTTCACTTAGAGATGAGTGTCTGTGACAGACCTAAAGTCTCAGCCATATTAAGTGTTTGGGCGTCGAACATAAATCAAGAAAATCAAACGCTAAGTAGAATCGTTTGTCAAATGAATTTTTTTAACTCGTAATTGCGCTTGGTTTCGAATTCCAACTCGTTCCGTCAGCTAGTGCGTAAACCCGAGTTACTCGGTCTGATACATTGATTATTTGCGTCAACGCATTGTTGCTGATGTTACACTTCCTCGAAATTCACGCATATGAGACTGATCATCAATGGAATAGATGGTGGAATGATTCAAAAATCAAGCTAAACGAGAATGATGCGGGTGTGGAGCCTCATGAAACTCCTGATGGATGCAATCACTTAATTTGATCAAAAGTCTTGAGTTTTCTAATCTTCATTGGTTTGTCGACACCATAAATGGACCTCGGGTATGAGTGAACAATCCCCAAAACACGTAATTTCTTTAGTCCTAGGGCATCTGTAAACAAATCGGCTGCTGTAATTACGACCGCGTTTAAGTAACTCAGGCCAATCACTAATGGTGCGAAAACTTATTCCTCTAGGTGTGACACTAATTATTCCCGCCAATGGTCGAAGCAGCACTATAGATGCAATTGTAGCGCAAGCAGCCATGGTGGTATTTGTGTTGGTGCCACTAGTCCGTCTGATACCCGTATTAGCCATATCTTCCGACAATCAGTGTTTCAAGATACCTCACACATCCCTTTGAGGTAAACATTTCGTCACCTTTTAACTGCCTAATTCATATTTCAAATGCCATAATAGAACACTGATCCTTGCCTTGTCTATCGTAGATTCCCCCTTAAAATAGAAGTATGAACTTATTGGGTGCTTCAATTTGTCCGAAACAGTACTCATCTTTAACAAAAGAGAAAAGCGATATGTTTTCCATGAATAATGATCACCTATTTGTATTATTTATCTAGCAAGAGTGAACTATGCCATTTTTAAAACATTGTCATTTTTATTCAGTTGTTTATGTGCTCATGAGTAAGCTAGTACGTGCGGTAATCCGATAATTTAAATAACTATCCACAACAGGTATTCTGATTTAAGGTTCAAGGTTCAAGTCCCGTGACTGTTAAAATCACTCAGTTTTGGTGGTAGTCAGCTTCCCTATGACCCGGCCCAATACTAATTTCATCCAAACGGGACCCCAAGTGGTTCACCAATACGAGTCCATAGGTATAGCTCGCCGGAGCTCATAAGTGAACGGTACAGCAACTTGTGCGCGCTTACTCAACGCTATCAGTATTTAAGCGTCAGACGCGAGGCACATAAGCACTGACCAGTCGCCACATGCACGTATGATAGTACTGAAAGAGAACGCGTGTGGTTTTTAATACCATGCTATCGTTATTGGCTGGTACGAGCGACTGAGGTGTGGTAAAACGTTGCGCAAGTTTTCTGCACTACCGCTCGATCACAATTCATGAAATGTGCCGTGAGGATGTCGTTCATCGTTTTACCGTTTTACCGTTTAACACATTGAATTACAAAAACATATTTGTATAACTTGTATAAGCTTATATGCTTACATTCACTTAAAAATGTACGGTGGTTGTGGTCATAACAATTAAATTATATAAATTCAGGAAAAATGCGTCCTGAAAAATATGGCTTATGGTTTGGTTTACGTAAACAAGTTCTGACGTAATTCAATAGCACTCTCTTCCTTGTTGGTTAGGAGTCGGTCCGGGTACTGTGCAGTGGAATTCTCTTGTTTGGTAATGCCAGAGTTCAGATGTCAAAGGGTGGAGGGTATAGGCGGATGGGAAGGGGAAGAGAATGTATCAGGAT